CCGAATAACTCCTCTAGCGGTTCTAGTGGTTCCTCCTCAACAGGCCCTAGGTGTGGTTCAGGCTGGCCGCAGTTGACTCAGTCGCCATGGAACTCTCAGCCTAATCGGCTGCCCAAATGGGCCTATTGGAGCCCACCACCATGTCCGTATCCCACCAACTCTGGATGGGCCTCTCCTTGGGATGGATCTCCTATGCCAGCCTCGCCCACACCTCATGGCCCACCTGCACATTGCAAGTCAGGGCCCAACAACGAACCAGACTAATCTCACTGCCTTTAACCCCCTTGAGCCAACTCAGCTTGGCGAAGCACTTCAGACAATGACTATGGACCCGGTTGATGATCAATGATACGTAGACYYGGGGACACCAAACCATCTCACGGGCGACCAAGGTAAGATTTCTAAACCCTCGTTAAATTGTCCCATTGGCTCAATATTTGTTGGTAATGGTGCTCCTATGCCGGTTCGTGGATCGCGTTCCTCCACCATTCCAACAACCCCACATAACCTACGCTTAAACAACATTCTTTACACACCCAACATCATTAAGAATCTCATTTHTGTTCGTAAACTTTCTGTTGATGATGATGTTTCCATTGAATTTGATCYCAATGGGTTTTCTGTGAWGGACTACCAGAGTGGTCAGATGCTGTCCCGCCATAATAGCTCGAGCCGWCTATATCCTCTCACCTATCTGGTCACCAACTCTACTTTTTTCACCTCCGGTGCTCGAGACGTTTGGCATGATTGGTTGGAACATCCCGGTCTTCCTGTTTTGGATTTTCTTAGTTTGGATAATACTATTCCATGTCCTAAATGTTTGCAGTTATTGTCAGCTTTCAAAGCACAAACGATTACCGTTTTTCGATTTTAATTCTACTATTGTTTTACTGTTTGATATTGTTCATTGTGACTTATGGACATCTCCTGTCCCCARCAAAACAGGTTATAAGTATTACATGGTTTTAATAGACGATTTCACACAATATACTTGAGTTTTTCCAATAAAATTCAAGTCTGAAACATTTTCCAAATTCTCTCAGTTTCATAAATACATCCAAACTCAATTCAATCTGACAATTAAAGCTGATGAATTCGATAACCAAAATTTCAAATCTTTTGCTGAAACAAACGGTCTTCTTTTCCGCTTCTCTTGCCCTCACACTTTCCAACAAAATGGGAAATCCTAGCGTATGATTCGTAGAATTAACGAGATCATACTCACTCTTCTCACACACGCATATCTCCCACCCCATTTCTGGGTTGAAGCATTACATACTGCGTGTTATTTCCACAATATTCTCCCTATCAAACTCTTAAAATTCACCACCCCTATGACTGCTCTTTATCATCGACAACCTTCCTATGACCACCTACAAGTTTTCGGGTGTGCGTGTTGTCCTAATACAACTGTGACACGGAAAAACAAGTTGGAACACCGGTCCACTCGCATCTTCCTCGGATACCCCACCAATTTTCGTGGGTATCGGTTCCTTGACCTTTCTTCTGGCAAGGTCCTCCTCTCTCGTCACGTCACTTTCGACGAGACATCTTTTCCATTTTCTGAAGATCATCCCACCGCACTCTTAGACTACTCATTCCTCGAGTTTGACCCTTCTTCTACCATCTTTGACACACCAGCCACTTTACAACCTACTCCCCTGCCAACTACCCAACCCAACTATGCTGTTACTACAGTCAAAATACAAAATATCGGTCAGGACCGATATTCGATATATCGGTCCAAAATAGCGGTTAATATAATATTTCTTAGAATTATATATATAATATGCATTAATTAGAGTTTAGAAATATAGTTTCAAAATTAAAACATCACATCATCTAAAGTGTTCAAAAACGAGCTAATCGCAAGCAATAGGTTCGGTATCCGAGTCAACATCATCCAATACATTCACTTCTTTGTTTAGGTTAGCTTCCCAATCTTCCTCTTCTTCCCCTTCATCTCCAACATGATGATGATGATCATCATCTCTGTAGCGCTCCCTTTTACTTCTAGTACTTGGTCCAACTTCTTCATTACCTCCTATTGCTTCTCGTACATCCGACCAATGGAGGACATCTCTTGCATCAACAAACTCTTTGAGCTCAACGTTGGTTGGAACCACCCGATCATCATTTTCTTCAACATCTCTCAAGAAAACAAGATTTGAAGACTTGCTATCCTTAAGAGATTTGTAGCGCCTCTCCAATCTTTTGTTATATTGAATGAAGACAAGATCATTCAA